TTTGTCTAAAAAATCTCTTAAATAAGGACCTTCCTTTAAAATTGATCGTAGCGTTCCTCGGATTTGGCCAAGGAGGGGAAGGGGAGAAGCGGAAGAGAAGTGAGAAGACGCCCATGTTGCTCTGGACGAACGGATCACGTTTTCAAAAATTTTTGTTTGTCTTTTCTTGGTAAAGTGCGCAAGTTTCCCTTAATCTCTTCCTGATAAGTAAAAAAATCATTTGCAAAAACGAATCCCCAAATGCTTCCTGAGATCGGAAACACTATTCGTGGGAATGTGGTAGAAGTGAAGACTGCTGGCTTCCTAGAAAAATTCTTGATATTTATGTTTCCCAAAGTCAAATTCGTATAACTTCACTGCTCTATATATAAAAGAGAAAGAACTCTGGGAAAGCTTGCAATCCATGAATTTTTAAGTACAATTTAATGTTATTAGTAGCTTTTATAGTTTTTATAAAAACACGCACATACATGTACACTACTCAAGCAAGCAAGATACACATACACACACACACAGAAAAACAGTACGATAGGTCCATTTCAAAAAGGTAATTTTTTTCGTGTTTACCTCGGTGTACCTGTGCCTCCCGAGCGGAGTCTTCTTGGTTGGTCGAAGGAGATGGATCTGGCCGCGGTAAGTAAATAAACCGACCAATTAAGAGAAAAATGAAAAAGCATCAATAGGAAGTGCTGCCTGGTGAGGGAGGAGGTCGAGGGTACTCAAGCGTACACCAGTCAATGAATTGGTTTTTCTGAGGAAGTCACCAAAGCACACACACAAAATGTATGTGCATACCTCAAGTGTCCACTGCAAACGCGATTCAATAAGTGTTCTTCTTGTTGTTCCGCCAAAAAACGATGATGCCACACGCCCAATCAAACGCTGGTGATGTTGATAATGACAATGATGATAATGGCGATAATAATGATGCTGGTGGTAGTGGTGATGATGATAAGTGGAAGATTGTGACGAAAACTGCGAGAAATACTCTTCGAATAATCAGGAAGTACGGTTTAGAATTCAGAAAAATGTTGTTAGATGTAAGGAGGTCCTTGCGAAGAAACGAAGTTACATATTCTGACTTTTGTGTTACTGGTATGTCAGTGTTTTAGTTTTCGGACAGTTTACAGCATTTGGAATTCAGTGGGCGCTGGTGAGAAGCGACAAAACGCCGCCTGAAATACATTCCCAAAGTAATCTGCTAGAATTGGTAAATTATGTGGCACGCATCGAAAAGAAACGGCGAGCGAAGCGATCAGTAACAACGAACAACAAACAAAAAAAAATAAAAAACTTAAAAGATTCTGAGGTACCATTCCGCAGCTGAGATAGGCCAGGGGCTATTTGCATCACGAAAAACCAACTGCAATTCACACAAATTGATCCATAGGTGGATAAGGGTACACGTAAAAAACTGTAATGGGCAAGCACAAAACGAAGCTTCAACTACGCCAGGTGGCCATTTTATTTTGGTAGCTTTTCTGCCGCACTGGGAACAACTTTTAACAATTTTTTTGGTGCAATAAATTGGCCAACTGAGGAATTATGTGGATGAGAAAGGCCAAAATGATGGCGAACAGAAAAGCTCCCAATTGCACCAATGGCGAGAAGAAACGCGATAATGAAAACGGCGTGTACGACAGGCTGAAATAATACAGAAATTAGAAAATCCGAAAACTCTTTAAATTTTTAATTCCTCTGTTAACTTAAGGGATTATCAAATTTTAAGGAACAGGGGAATCTGAATGATCGATGTATAAAAGTTGTGAAAAACGAATAAAACCTCAATGCCTGTAGCGCTGACGCAACAGGCAACGGAAGAAAGAGGAAGGCGGAAAAGAGGTGAGAACAGGTGCCCCTCGTTTTTCTCGCAACGAACAGGTGTTCAGTTCTGTGTTGCCCCAATGTAGCTAAATTTATATCGCATTTTGTACTTCTTCTTGTATCAAATGTAAGTGTTCCCTGCTAAAGCGACAGAACACCAATGAAACAACCCTGCTTTAATTAAATTAATCAAAACGAAAGGGCAAGATTTTTGCTAATTAGCGAAACTTATCTCTGAAAGCTGTCGTATCGGTCGGACAAGAGTAGCTCTCTCTCGTGCTGAAGAGCGGGGGAGGGGAAGGGGGGCTTGACTGTGCCCTTGGAACACAAACAATCCCCCCACGATTTGTTCATTTGTTTCATTGCTTAGCTGGTACACGCCGGGGAGTCAAACCCGCTATTAGCCTGCTTCTAAACAACTCTCGAAAGAGGAAATCATCGACAGCGAATGAATACTGTTGGCAACTGGTGCCATTCGGCTAACTCCCAGTGTTCCCTACCTTTCTTGCAAAGTAGATACGTGAGAATGTTTTTTTTTTTTTTAAGAAAAAAGAAAAATGCTAAAACTACGCAAAGTAATTGCAGTAGTGGTTTCCTCTCATTCACTCCAAAAAAAGACGCAAACAAAACAGTGGCGCCGCTGTCTGCGTTTTTTCACAGAGGCACAAGAAGTGGAGCTTTTGAGACGATGGAAGCACTCCTCGAGACTCTCCTCGCATTCCTCCAGGATGAGTTAGAGCGAGGGAGGGAAATGACAAAATAGTGACGAGAGCTCAGCACAGCGAAGACCCTCTGGTCGTTAGCATAATGAGTCACACTCAATCACTCATTTCTCAGTCTTTGGTGTTCACTGTGTGTGGAACTGGCCGAAGCAATTACTCTGTTCGTGCACAGATCAGCAGGTGAGGCATGAGAAGCACGCAGCAAACGAGGTAAATAAGCCATCGCAACAACTTCGCAGCACTGATACCTTCACAAAAAAAAGCCATGTGTCACCGAGAATGCTAATAATACAACCGAAAGAGAGAGAACGATTACTCGGCCGGTCTCCGAAAAGGCAGTGCATGCAACGGCCAGTGGTACTAACTGGAGGTATGCAGCTTACAAATAAGGATAATACAACTACGTCTAGCCGCCTGCGGATGCACCGCAGCAGCGCCAGGAATACTGGATGCCCAAACATCGAATGTCCGAGCGGCCTTGAAGAACATCGGGACAGTGGAAAGAATTACGTCTTGTAAACAAGATAATCCAAAAATTCGTTGAACAATCACACAACAGGGCTGAAGGAGGGAACAGGGACCGAAAAGGCAGAAGACACTCCAGAACTAGCGCCACTTAGCAAAACAGCATTCCTCTCTCTCTTTTTTTCCTTCGATCAACTCATCCAGCAGCAGCAGCAAAGTGAACCCCTCCCCCCCACACAGCCAAACAATCCTCTTCAGGAGCAATTTAATATCTCAAAAGCGAATTTTGCACTCATTCACAATAAAATTTATCATATTTGGATGCTCAAATTTTCCCCCTTTCCCTTCCTTCCACCAGTGCCGGTCTCCGGCCTCCACAAGCTCCCGGTGATTTTGACTAAA